TTAAATATGATCATCATCCCTTGTAAGTTTACCCATAGTTGTCTACCTATTAAATCGTGATGTTTGGCCTGGAAAACGGAAGAATAAAAAATGAAAATTGGGTCTAAATGAGAGTGATCGCATGCAGAACTTTTATGAATGTTGCTTCAAATACTGGATATTGCACACATCTTGTGTAAGAGATAAAAACCATTACCAGCTCTAAGAGAAGGAAGAATGCTTGGAAGTGCATGCTTGAAACTGAAGCAAGGATTTTTGCAAACAGAAAATAAAGCTCAATGTCAGTTAACAAACAAATGTGCTATTTCAAAAGATATAAAACAAGAAATCTAGAAATGGCCAGAGTCCAGGAAATGGACACAGATCCTTTTTGGAAGGCCCTTCCAAGCTGTGATTTATTTCAGCTTGACTATAAACCAAACAAATTAGCAATAACATGTGTTTTATGAAATGCTACGAAGAGAAGATGCTATCATTCCAAGTGTTACTCTGAAGATGTGGAACCAGAGAAATTACTGCCATGGATTTGGTGCAGTAATTTTCTTTCAAAACCACAAATGCCCTCACGGAAACTGTTAAAAGGCTGTTATTTGTGAAAGGCTAGCTTTTCATATAATCTTCGGGTCACTCTTGACATTCCAAACTGCCCCTGTTTCTAAAGGCAATACAAGACTGATTTTAAATTTAAAAACCCTAAAAATTTTTATCTAACTGGAGTCATGCAAATTTCAAAAAGTCATTAACATTTATTAAGTTTCAAATTTTCAAGTTTTTTTTAAAAGTATAAGAAAAATGCTGTAGGGGACAGACGGAAACAGCAATAAAACCATTTTTTAAAATAACTTACAGAATAAAAAGAGACTGTCCTCATTAACTAATGAACCTGACAATTATAATTAGTTTTAGCCCAATAGCACTGAAAGGGAAAAAATACATTTTCAAAATGAATTACCAAGAACGAGAGTAATTCCAAATGACCACCGGGCAAATTCATTCAGGAAAAATATTACAGCAATGTTAATTCTTACCAGTCATCCTCGAAATTCTAACTGTCCTGTTCGTTAAGTCTGAAACCTAAAGTCAGGACTCCACAGATTTATGATCCCAGGAAATTGGTCATCACTTAGGTACTAAAGTAGTCAGTGGTGATCGCCTGATTAGCACTCAAAAGACATCTGAGGTCCCTGTTTGCCAGTAGATTCTGCCCTCAGAAAAGAATGCTGTCGCTTGGCTTTTACAAGATATAAGCAAGCTTGCATGCAAAAGGGAAAGATTAATTCCTCTGAGTCTTGCAAAGAATGGGGCAAGAGCTTCTTTTAAGCAAACTGATTTTGTCAATCTATTAAGGCTTTCTGTAACAAAATCCTAGGAAGCCTTAAGGCCTCTTGGCCCCCTGCTATCAGAGGATTGAAAGACTACAGCTAATTTGCCAAACTCCAAGACCAGGAACATAAACCCATTAGGGAGTAGGGGGTTGATAAACATTTGCTAAATGAGTCAACTAGCTAAGAGCATGAAAGACTAAATTAAATTCTAAATAAAATGCTACAATGTTAAGATTTAGTAGAAAGGGACTAAAAGTTTTAAAATAGAATCTACCGGACCCTAACTTGGTAAATGAAAATAGTTAAGTCAATACTAGACAAAATACAAGGAAACTGGCTACAAAACTGCAGGCAAAGATTAAAAACCTTTTTTGAAGTCAGTCTGAGTATTTTTCCAAACATGTTAATTTGTAAATATTGTCTAAATTATACTTAAATATTGTCTATATTATATATTGGTATTTTATACTTGTCTAGAGAGAACATCACACCTATACTTGACAAATATACTTCTGAACTATTACTATGTTAAATACAAGTCTCTGAAGCCTGCATTGTTACTCGGGCTAATAATCACTTATTGTCTTGCACTTGGAAGATGTTAATGGAAAATGATAATGACGAGAGATTGTGAGTGTATCAACCTCCCAGAGATCAAACTCACTCTATGCAGTTTTCCACGAAAGACAAAGATCATTACAAAAGAACACAACAGATTTCTCTGGACTACCAGTTCTCCCACATAACTTGAAATATTATTCAAAGTACATAAAATTATATTTCATACACCTCTTAAGGAAGACACATGGGAACAACTACAGGTGGGTATACTTAACACTGCCCAGCCACCAGGGTTCTTGACCTATAGCCAACATATAGGCCCTACCCTCAAAGTCATTCTTACTGCAATCAGTTGAAATTACATGCAGGTCTCCACCATAAACTCTGAAAGTGCCTTGGTGATTTTGCTAGATAAAGCCACATTTTCCACTTCTGAAATGTATGTGTAATACCCTAAAAACTAATTCATGTGTCTAATAGACATCAAGAGTGTGTTATGCTCCCCCTATTGGCTAATAGTCAAAATAACAATGAATTCACCAGTGGCTACCTTTGAAGTGCAGGGGTTCAAAAAGTAGGCGATTTTTATATTTAAAAGCATGAGCTGGATCAAAAGTTGTTAAGCAAAGCTGCCATATAATGGTCAGATTCCATCAAAACAGGAAAAATTAAAGTTGACAAATGACAAAGACAAGTTGAAGGGCTGAAAATATGCTGAAGCCTTGAAATACTAAACAATGCAGCGTCAAAGCCAAAAGCAGAAAACACCAAGAAACAGAGCAACATCCTTTAACTAACACAATGGCATGAAATCAATTTCATTTTAATAGCCCTTCAGGGGGTAAGAATTATTTCCCTGCCTCCTGTGCCAACCTCAAGCTGTTTCCTAAGGAAGCCAAGTAATGCTGACCAACATTGTCTGGAGAATTAATAAGAGAAATTAAGAGTAAAGATCCATATTAATTAACCCCAAACAGAGTCCCATTTATAACAGAGAGCCAATTTCAAAGGGACTGTAATTTGGCACCCAACTATCACTCAAATTAATTACAGATGCGTATTTGTGTTTCAAGAGATAGTGTCCCATTCAAGAGTGAAGCTGAAGGACTGAAGACATCTGGGGTGTCTGCACACAAATCTGACTGCCTTTGGAGTTAAGCTCTCTGTCCTGCCATGAACACTGGATTCTGACAGAACAGAAGGTTGTGGAGGAACTTGGGCAATTAACTAATCTCCAGAGTTCCATCTGTAAAATGGGGTAGTTTTACCACCGCTGGTGTGAGCATTAAGTGCGATGGTGTTCCTAAGGTTTTCAGTAGCGTGTCTGGCACACACTCCATCAACCTTAGCTTTTATTTTCACCCGGAAGAAATAGCTAATTTCACACTGAAGTCACTGCAGTCTAAAGTACCATTTACAGGGCCTCCCCGGTGGCGCAGCGGTTGAGCGCTGGGTTGCGAAGCTGACCGCAGCCTCTGCGGCGGCGGTTCGATCCCCGGCTGCTCCCCGGCCACCAGAGGAGGGTCCCGCATGGCGCGCAGACCTCTCCTGCCGCCCGCTGCTCCCCTCAGCAGTGTACTTCGGTCCTTCTGCCTGCTCTGCTCCCCACTCTGGCTCTGGTGAATTCTCTCACCCTCCCGCGCTTCTGACTGTGCCCAGTGCTGGTATAAATAAATAAACAAATAAATCTAAAAAAAAAAATAATAAAAAAAAAAAATAAAGTACCATTTACAGAAAATCAAAAGGTCTAGCCACGTGCTTTGCTACTTGCAGAGACTTCTCCCAAACCGCTTGCTTCCTTTTCTTGGAAAGGGGATGGAGCTCCGCAAGCGCATGCTTCCTCGCTGTCACTCTCACCACCACCCTCTGCCTCCTTCCCCCGCCGGTACCTCCCGAGGGCTCGCGACCAACAGCGCTAACCCCCGGGCGCTGCTCGCCACGCGCTAGGCACGGAGTTAGCACTTGACACATATTAAATCTCTCCATCTTGCAGCGAGCGCATGAGGCCAGAACTATTATTATTTCCATTTCACACCTGAGGAAATGGAGCGATGTTTCTATTCTCAGGTTTCCGCAGTTTTGCAGACACAATATCCATTAAGTTCTATTCTTTTTTTTTTTTTTCAGATTTATTTATTTATGCATACAAGAGCTGGGGTACAGGCCAGAGATTGGGGGGGCGGGCGGTGAGAGGATTCACCAGAGACAGAGTGGGGAACAGAGCAGGCAGATTGATCGCAGTACACTGCTCAGAGGAGCAGCAGGCGAGACAAGAGAGTCTGCCGTGCCATGTGGGTTGCTCCCTGGCCGGCCGGGGCATTGAACTCGTGCTGCAGAGGCTGCAGATAGCTTCATAGTGCGGTGCTTAACCCCTTGCGCCACCAGGCAGGCCCCATTAAGTTCTATTCTAACGAGCTGTCACGCTTGACACGCCGGCTCCCTGCACGCTGCGCTTCTAGAAACTGGGGCGCATGTCCTAATAAGAACAAGACTGCAAGCAGAATCTCCTAGCGACAGTCCAAATTTTCCAGTTTCCTTTAAGCAAATGGACATGCTAAGAAAAGCCTTCAAAATAAATTGAGTTGGACGATGACTATGAACCAGGGGCGCGTTTCTGGCGGGGGCTCCAGGAAGCGGCGCTCGGCCCCGCCCGCAGGGCACCCCGAGGGCGCGGTGGCCGCGAGCGCAGCTCACGCTGGCGCGCGCATCCCGGCCGCAGCCTCCGCAGCAGCCCCGAAGAGCAGCCCCACAAGCCAGGCGCCCCGCGCTGTCACGCGCCGGGGAGAGGCGACCAGCGCGCCCCGCACCGGCCAGAGGAAGCCGCGGGAGGCGGGCGCGGAGACGCCGCCCCGGCCACAGCGCATCGCCCGAGCGCTGCCCACCCGCGCGGCCACTCCCCACGCACCGCGCGCCCCCGCTCCTCCCAGCGTAAACAGCGCCGGACCCACGCCGCCCGGGGGACCCCCGCCACCCCGCGGGCACGGAGCCCCGCGCAGCAGCCACAGGCACCCCGCAGCCTGCAGCGCCGGCGGCCCGGGCGCGCGCTGCGCTCCAGGCGAGGCAGGGGACGTCCGGGCGCGGGCGGCAGCGCCGCGGGACCCGTCCCGCACGTACCGTGGAGGCGGCGTGTCAGGCGGAGACCCACCCGCCTCAAGTTGGAGAGAAGTTTCCCCGCCCAGCGCTCGGCCGCAGCGAACTCCGGCAGCTGCAGCGCCCGGCGCAACTACGCCATCCAGACCGCGGGGACTTTCACCTCCTGCAGGGAGCTCCGGGGCGCGCGCGGGGAAAGTGGCCGCGCAGCAGCCGCAGACTTCCCTCCCTCACTCGCAGGGAAGAGGAAAGCGCCGCTCGGCGTCCCCGAAACCCTCGATTACCCCCATCGGGCTGACCCAGCACGCTCGCTCCCTCGCACACACGCGGGCGGGGACGGGCAGCGCGCCACAGCAATCAGCGCGCGGGGGGATGGGCGCTCCTCCTCCGCCGGCCCCACCGAGGGCTCCGGGCCCGAGAAACTCCTCCTCCCGCCGCCCTCCTTTCTCTCCACCCCCTTTCCTCCCGGGCTGATGGATGAGCCCGGAGCGCAGCCAGAGCCTGCTGTATCCCTTCGGCCCTGCAGGGAGAAGGAGGAGGAGCAGGGAGCACGGCCCGGCTGCAGCGCGCCCGGATTGGGGTGGCGGTGGGGGGCGCATCCTCTAGAGAAAGCGGGGGGAGGTGGGGGCGTGGACGCGGGCGCTAGCAGCAGAGAGTTTCACCCTCAAAGTGGAAACTTCAAAGAGTCGCGGGCTCACTTGGATACGTTGGTTTTTCATTTGGGTCCTCGGTATTGATATGAAAAATTAAATTTGAAACCTCAAGTATCTGATCACCCACTCCAGCCCAGGCCCCAGCCCATTCCACACACGCACACAGACACACACACACACACACACACACACACACACACACACACACGGGCGCACAAACACACATTCTGTCCCAGTTTGCTTTTTCCCATCTCCTGTCTTGTTTGTTATCTCAAGCTATGCTCTGTTGGGGGTTCCGTGCTGAGACTACCTTACCAGGTCGTCCCCACTGTTTGCAAAATAATTAGTACAACTAAAGAGCTGGGTTAACCTTAGTGGCGTTACCCAGAGGCTGTGGCGGCCGGGCAATGTCCAGCATACGTGTGCGGTGGGATGTATGTTGCAAAAGTTGGTGACTACAGTCATCACAACACTAGTTCGATACTTCTATTTGCATCACGTTTTTCTTTTAAAAGATGTGTTTAGGCGCCTCCCAGGTGGCGGAAGGGGTTAAGACACAACCTGTGAAGCTGTCTGCAGCTGCTGCAGTACGAGTTCGAGCCCCTGCCCAGGGAGCTAACCACATGGCACAGGAGACCTCTTCTGACTCGCCCACTGTTCTCCTCAGCAGTGTATTTCAGTCAACCTGCCTGTTCTGCTCCCTGCTCTGTCTCTGGTGAATCCTCTCACCCCCCCTCCCACACCTCTGGCCTGTACCCCAGTTCATGCATGCATAAATAAATAAATCTTAAAAAAAAAAAAAAAGATGTGTTTAGATCGTAGGACACTTGTACTAAAAGACTGGAAAAATTATCTTAGGCTGAAAGGTTTCAGAGACCAGACTTAACAGTCCTGACTCTACACTTGAACTAGCTGTGGGACCTTAGATGCAAGGGTGAAGGCCTTTAATCTTTGTTTTTACCTCTCAGAAAATGAGGAGCAAGGTCTAGGATACCTCTTCCCATTTATAAGTACTATGGGAATAGATCCATAACATAAAAGCATGGAATAGCAAGATTTCTCCTATTATTACTTACATTGCAAAGTATACGTCTTTGGAAAGTTGCTGGAGTTCCCCACTTTGAGAGGAAAGGAAGTCTTTTCTCATGCCTTTTTTCTCGTTTCTATACTTAGAGAATCCATCCAGTGAAGAATCTTTCACAAAAGTCACAACCTCATGGATCATCTGGATGACTGCAAAAACCTTGCCAGTGGGGCCTCCCTGGTGGCGCAAGGGGTTAAGATGCAACCTATGAAGCTATCTGCAGCCACTGCAGCACCAAGTTTGATCCCCGGCCAGCCAGGGAACTAACCACATGGCGCAGCAGAGGTCTCCTTACTCACATGCTGCTCCCCTCAGCAGTGTATTTCAGTCAGTCTGCCTGTTCTGTTCCCCACTCTGTCTCTGGTGAATCCTCTCACACCCCCACACCTCTGGCCTGTACCCCAGCTCTTGTATGCATAAATAAGTAAATCTTCAAAAAAAAAAAAAAACCTTGCCAATGAACTATTCATTCCTTATCAATATGTATTGAGTGCCTACTGTGTAAGAGAACTGAAGTGGGCCTGGAGATTCATACAGACAATGCCCAGAAGGAACAGAGGAGGTAGAGTTAGCCTCTACTTTTACATAGTCTCTCTAGATTTAAGGCCTTCAATAGCTCAGACTCAAATTACACAGTATTCATGCCTCAGATTGTCAAATTTAATTTCAAGTGCAGACATGAACACTTGATTTGGGTGTAAATATTTAATCCTATATTTACCTTTATCAATCGCATTATGGCTTTCTATGTAGAATGGCATGGTAGAAGAGAAAAGCCAGTCCTAGATAAATCCAGAGTGTCTTGTCTTTTAAGAGTAACCAAGTGACAGTTTATAATGGAGCCAGATTCTGAATCATAATCATCAACAGCTATTGAGCAATTCCTTTCTCCCAGGCATAGTCCTAAATATTCCTTTCATGGGAATATATTTACTTCTCTTAGCTCTATGCGGTTATATGCAAACTGCAGCCTGTGTCCAGACCTACGTATGTACTTAGGTCTTATAACTTGCCAAGATGCTCTACCTAGTAAGTAGGAGAGCCAAGGATTCAAACCCACATCCATCTAGCTGAGTCCGTCTTTAAGCACCTGATCACCAAAAGCTTTATGTATTGACAAAACTAAAGGTTTGAGAAGTTCTGTTTAGAAAGTTTGTAGGGCGGAGGGGGAGGTCTGTTTTCTTTTTTCACAAAACATTTTTTAAATTCAGGGCTATTTGTTTCAGTAGATGATATGAGAAAATATAATAAATCATGTCAGTATTTACAAAACCACCATCTACACAGGTGTTTTCACTTTCATTTTTTACATTAATTATGTGATATTATGGCGCCTCCCTGGTGGTGCAGGGGTTAAAGACACAGTGCTATCAAGGTATGGGCAGCCACTGCAGCAGCCACTGCAGCATCCCCTGCAACAGCCACCGCAGCACCAGTTCAATCCCTGGCGGCCAGGGTTGCAGGGAGCAACCCACATGGCACAGCAGACCTCTCCTATCTCACCCGCTGCTCCCCTCAGCAGTGTATTTCAGTAAATCTGTCTGTTCTGCTCCCCACTCTCTCTGGTGAATCCTTTCTCTCTCTCTCTCTCTCTCTCTCTCTCTCTCTCTCACACACACACACACACACACACTTGCACCTTTGGTCTACACCCCAGTTCTTGTATGCATAAATAATAAATCTTTTTTAAAAACAATGTGATATTATTAGCAAAAAGCCAGACACCTGGGGAACAGAGCAAAGATTTCAAATAAAGCTAAATTTTTGTTTCCTCAGCAAAGCTATAGAAAAAGAGTTCCCCTGCCTTCTTTAATGGTAATATTAACTGACTGCTTTCTTACAACTTAAGACTGTATTCAAGTTAGAGTACTACTATAAGGTAGAAACTTCCTTTGGACCCTTTTGGTCAATCATTTGTTCTGAATTTTTTTCAAACAAATTGTAAAGAGGGTGGTGAAATGAAGAGGCTCACTTTATCTCACTTGCAAAAAAAAAAAAGGCTTGACAGCATGAAGTCTCAGTGATTTACTGAGGTTGTGCTTCTCGTAAGGAGCCGCCCCTCCCATAGGCGTGGGTGCACTCATTTGTGGTGACTCAGATTTAGTGGCCTATCTCTAGAGTCTGTCATTTAGCAGACAACTGAACAAATTCATAATAATCTGTTTATGTCCCTGAAGAAGCAAATATCTCATATTTCTGAAAGATGTCACTAGAAAATTGTTTCTCTTTTTAAGCTAATCTTCCTATAGGTCTTAGCATATGCTTTGCACTCTATGAATTCTAACTCATTAAATCCTTATAGCAGCACTGTTATCCTCATTTTACACATTAGAAAATGATAAAGGGAGATTAACATATCCAAAGTCATACCGCTAGCAAGGGACAGAAGCAGGCCCCAGGGTTCCAGAGCCTATGCTCTGAGCTGATGCTTTGTGTTGCAACAGGTGAAGGTCCTTTCCATTGTTTTTTATATTTTTAAGCTCTGTTCTTTATCATTAGAATTTTTTTTATTTTATTTTTATATTCCCCATACAAATGCAACCCCCTTATTTTGACCCCAATTCCTCCCCTCCCTGCCCCCCGTCCCCCATAGAGTGTCTCTGGTTCATAGTTGTTTGTTGATTTTGATTTTCACTTTCTTATAGTTATTCTTTTTCCTGGTCTCTTATTTAAGTTTTCTAGATTCCTGCTATGAGTGAGACCATCCGGTAATTTTCTTTTTCTTTCTGGCTTATTTTGCTGAGCATGATCCCTTCCAGTGCCATCCATGTTGCTGCAAATTGCATGTGTTTATCTTTTTTGAATGCTGAGTAATATTCCATGGTGTATATGTACCACATCTTCTTGATCCAGTCCTCTATTTTGGGGCATTTGGGTTGTTTCCAAAGCTTATAAGCTCTGTTCTTTAAAAGGTTCATAAGGGGCCTCTCTGGTGGAAGAAGGGGTTAAGACACAGCACTATGACACTATCCGCAGCCACTGCAGCATGAGTTCGATCCCTGGCCAGAGAGCACCCACATGGCGCAACAGACCTCTCCTGTCTCGCCAGCTGCTCCCCTCAGCAGTATATTTCAGTCAGTCTGCCTGTTCTGTTCCCCACTCTGGGTGAATCCTCTCCCACACCTCCAGCCTGTACCCCAGTTCTTGTATGCATAAATAAAATAAATCTTAAAAAAAAATAAAATAAAAGGTTCATAAGATAAAAATAAAAGTTTGTTTGGGAGAGATAGTACCCCGCCACATAAAAACAGACCCCATTCACCTGCTAAAGAGGAGAGAAGGGACACCAACTTTAAAAAGTTAAAAAGTTTGTCTTAAATAGCTAACATCTTGGAGGCAATTGCATAACTACACTTAAGAATGTGTGACAGAACATGAACCAAATGTTGTTCAAAATTTGTTGTGACAGGATACTGGTCTACAAAGTACAGTAGGGACTCCTATTTTCTGCTCAGTTGACCTATAATTACAGACAGATTTACTACTTTATTTCTAAAATTCTCCCATAAACATTCCAATTCATACCTGGAGGTGTTTTTTATATCACCATAATCTAAGGCCCTAATCTAAAGCCA